TTTAATGCGGTGAGCGTATATTAGGTTCACATGTGTTCTGTTAGAATGCTGTTATCTATATTAAGTTCCACATTTGTACCACTACAGCGCTAATGTCTATAAATTTATTCTAATGTGAACTTATGTACAGCTTTAAGATGTACCTAGTTCAGGTCAATTGTGTATCTTTAATTCTTTCAAATACTGAAATTTTAGAGATCCGCAATAAAAATTATTAATGTCCGTTAAATCGCCTAGCCCAGGTACTAATAGTCAAGTATGAATACCTAAAGCATCAGACGGTAGTGTTCCCGGTTTAAATTCGTTTATTATGCCTGACAATTTATTCAAAGCGGAATGAGGAATACGATTTTCAATAGCCCATGTTCTTATTTTTTTGCTAAAGGTTAAATAATTGTCTAAATCAAAATTGTATTCACTATCACTAGAACTGCAATCATCACACTCTGATATCTGTATATTTTGAAGGGAACTTTCAGGTTCAGGCATAATATTTTCCTCTGCATCATGTACAGAACCACCATAAATACAACTAAAAACAGGCTTGGGGAAAAGTGTAATAGAATATCACATTCACATTCATTTTCAGCTTAAAGCAAATAAGAGTAGTACTTGTGGACAAATAAACTGCTATTGATGTTAATGGACAACACATATAGTCCTTTTAACAGCCTACAGTGCACATGCGAACCATTGAAACACTTTTGTACAGATAGTAAAAAAAGGTTATTTTATTAACACAAACAAGTCCTACTACAGCTACTAGCTGTATAACAGTCTAAAACAAGTAAACATAATAGCCTTTGGCTTTATAAATGACCACGTGTGTTCTATTAAAATGCTAGCTCTATAACATCGTACAAGTAGGCCGTTAAACAGCAGTTGCCGTATCTCTACCCTCCTATAATGCTCTTAGTCAGACGGCTGACTAAAGGATAGTTGTTAGAGTATTATAACACCAACAATCGTATAAAAGTATAACTCTACACTAGTCTACACTCCTATAAGTCCCTTAGACAGGTATAGGTGTAATTAATTGCAATAATACAGCTTATACATCACGAGTGAACTGTACTAATGCTTTAAGTACACATTGGAACTAAATGTGAACTCTTAAATGGAGTAAAATGTTACTTGGGTAGTCTTTCCAGGTTTTATCAAAGTTGCACTAACATTTGCATTAAGTTAATTTTAACTTAATTTCCGTTCTTTGAGTCACGTGATGCCTCAAAGACAACGTCTCGATGATTGTTACTTCCACGATTATTTAATTTTGCCTTGTTCTCACCTTGGCACCAAATAAACTGGTTTTTGCTATCAGCGTTTCATATTCGCAATAATTTTAAGAAAGCAGGAAGAATTGATTTGATTTTGCTAATTGTAATACTATTGTACTTATTGTAGTCCTTAATTAGAGTAAAACAATCATATCGTCGCAATTTAAATGCGTGCTAAAGGAATTTTCGGAGATAAGACCAACGTTGGATATTTTCGGAAAATATTATCGTTTGTTATGGAAATCTCAGTAGATAAGAATACAGTGTTTATAAAGGTTAATGCTTAATGTCCGGGGTTCACCGATAAACCCTCGACATGGAATGAACGATCTTTGTTTACGATCAGATTTGCTACACAAAGCACTTTGATCTTGAACGTGGTGATAAGGAATCAGGAGATGTCTGTCTGCCAATGACTCATCAGTATTGTTGTTCTCTGGTATTTTTGGAATGTCTTTGTACCTAATTGGGTTTTATTTAGTATAGTAGCTTCTGTTTGGGACAATGTGAGATGTTACACCAATTTACCACCTTGTATTTTCGAGTGTAGATTCCTTATATCATTCATAGTGTTAATTAATATGTAATACGGCCCTTAATTTTGAACAAACCTTCACAATGAACATATAATTGTATTGTTACGACGCGAGAACGCGACATGATTGTCGAATGAACGTAGAACTTTATAGAAAATTGTGGAATGTCTGCAAAATCTTCGGGATATTAATAGGTCATGGAGAAGTCAAGGCACAAATCGAACACTTCAACGTAATGTGGAAGCTTCTGGAAAGATTGTACTTAGAGGAATCGATATAGACGGGGAGTAAATAAACTAGTACGAATGACGATCGAGTGAGAAAATTAGTGTCGGGAGGCGGGATACGTCCGGCAATAACTTTGGAGTTCGCATGTCCCCACTATATTTGGCAACACGTATTATAGGGGGCGTGGGGATTTACCTACACACATTAACTGTTACACAGAAGCGCTATGGCGTATAGCCAGGAAAATAAGCATTCCAATATCATAGTTATAATGGTATGGAGCATGAAGTTCAATGTAACTTTCTGTAAGTTAAAGCATTTGCAAATTCTCTGCGGCATTACTAGGGTAGTGGACACCCTAGTCAATTAATTAATATATGTTAATGAGCTGTTGAAACGCGACTCTTCCATAGATTTTGTCGATTTTGTTAGTTTAGGTACTAGTACATTGTGTACCACTTAATGTCACCTAAAAAAAAGTCCCTAGTTTTAGTGGTCAATGCTGGCCGTTGGCACCGACACATGCCATTATGACCCGTTCAGCACTACTATTAACGCTCGTTTTTCTATGACGCCCGACCGCTGCTCCGTTGAATGGACGTACGAGTGATATTGTCGGTGTTGACGGTAGTCGGCAAAAATGTTCACCGTTTGTTTTTTGTTTCTGTATTAGTTAAGGTATACAAGTGTAAATGTTAATGTATGTTTTAATTCAATAAATTATTTGTATTTGTATTTGTATTTGTATGGCGATGGGCATAGCTGGGCATTAACTCGTTAATCCGTTAATCGTTAATTAACGAAGTTAACATTTCTATTAACGGATTAACTTTTAAGTTAACTTTAAAAAATGTTAACGGACTCGTTAACTTCCGTTAAATTATCCTAAGTCCGTTAATCGTTAATCCAGTACCTACTATTTACCAAAAAGATATAGCAGGCACGCTGAAAAACGCTAAAAAAACGCTTTCTGGCAAGTACGTTCGGGCTTCCAGAACTTCCAGAACCCAAAACAACAGTTTAACGACACTACTTGTTTGTATGTGTGGGACAACTCTTGCAACTGAATTTAAGACCAGTTTTCCTGAACCGATTGAGCTGAAATTTGGTATACTTATGTAAGTACGATGACAATGCAATGTTATGGTACCATTGAGCTGGTCTGATGATGGCGTCATGAGGTGGCCACAGGCCATAGGAACTCCTAAATGAAACGGCGGCATCGAATCGAAGGTTCGTTGGATTTGTCTTTTCGAGCACTTTAGTATTAGATGATGTCCAGGGTCCTGATGATGGAGTCAGGAGGTGGCCATAGGAATTCCTAAACGAAACGGTGGAAACTTATCGAGTTTGGGTTTGCTGGATTTGTTTTTTCGAGCACTTTAGTGCTAAATTGTATTGTAATTGAACCAAGGCTCTGAGATTGAGATACTACAGGGTGGCCCAGAAGAAAGTTCACTTTTGAAAATTCAAGGAAACGAAAACTGTAAATTTTTATAGAACTTTTGCTATTGCAATTTAAAGGAAATTTAATGCAATTTCTTTTTAAATTTAACTTTATTTAATTACACCGCCCAGGAGATTTCCTCGACTCTTACAACATTCGATCAACATACATCAAAATCTTGAAATGCGTTCGTTAGAATTACCTCGAAACCTATTTTCAATTTTTTGCCGAATGCTCAGCTTCAGTTGCTGCATGGTTGTTTGATTATAAAAGTACACTCTATTCTTAATGTAACACCACAAAAAAGAATTTTCTGGAATGAGATCAGGGCTTCCTGGGGGCCAGGAGATGTCACCCCTGCTTGAAATTATTTTTTTGTGGGAACATGTCTCTTACCATCTAAATGCTCTCATTTGAAGTGTGACACGTAGCCCCATCTTGATGAAACCAAGTGCTCCAGTCACAGCCTTGCGAATCTTGCAGTTTTGAAATCAAAAAGCTTTGCAGCCTACCAGTATAGCGCTCTCAAAAATTAATCATCCTTTCAATGCAACAAACCAATTAAGCAGGGGTGAAATCTCACTGCCTCTAAGAAGCGTTAATCTCATTCCAGCAGACTTCTTTTTGTGGGGTTACCTTATGAGCAGAGTATACTCTAATAATCCAAAAACTCTGCAGCATTCATCCATCCTGAATCCATTTCGAGGTAACTCTTAACAAAAGTTTTCCAAAATTTTGATGTATGTTGACCGAATGTTGTAAACGTCAAGGGAATCACATGTACGATCAAATTTATAAAAGAAAGTAAATTTTAAAATAAATTGCACTAAATTTCCTTTAAATTGCAATAGTTAAAGTTCTACAAAAATGAACAGTTTTCGATTCCTTGAATTTTCAAAAGTTAATTTTCTTCTGGGCCACCCTGTAGTTACTAAAAAGTGTTTTAAACTTTTTTAAAAACAAGCTTTTATTCTGAAATACAGGTGTACTAAAACGAAAAAAATAATTGTACTTTGCAAGGTTCTAATAATTTCGAAAGCTTGTAGCGCAAACATAAAAAAGGAATAAATTCCATGCGCGATACCTACAAGCTTTCGAATATTTTTGAACCTTGCATACAATTATTTTTTTCGTCTTATTATCATGTGTTAACGGATTAACGATTAACGTTAACTTGCGTTAAATGTTGCGAAATGTAACGTTTTAACGTTTAACGAAGTTAATTTTTTTATTAACGTTTTAACGATTAACGAAGTTAACTATTTGATTAACGGTGCCCAGCTATGGCGATGGGGACGATGACATCATCAGGTCACAAACTCGATTGATTTCAAAGTTACTAAAAATAGATGTGTACAGCCAATTGAAAATTGACTGTTTTCAGGGCTAGAATGTAATGTTTTTGAAAAAATTCGTGTTGTGAAACTTTTGGTGTCAAATACCCATTTGTCCACAACAAATACATTCCATCGTCTAGGTCCTCTGCCTTACTTATGTACTGTGTATTTCCAGACGATACTCGAGAAGTATTGCCCGGACATCGCCGCTGGCGGGCTGACGTGCTGCAACGCCGACCAGCTCCGAATCCTGGAGAAGAACATCGCCAACGCGGGCATGCTGTTGCGCTGCCCCACTTGTATGGAGAACTTCCTGAAGCACATCTGTGGCATGACCTGTGCGCCGGATCAGAGCAACTTCTTGAAGCCGGTCAAGATTGAACCTTATCCAGGTAAGGTTTAAGACTATTTTAGCTACTGCTGATGGGTTGTTCTTGAGTGCAATGGCGCCTAGAGTGCAGAAGCGATCTAAGATGCTCCACCTGCATGGAGAACTTCCTCAAGCACATCTGTGGCATGACCAGCGCGCCGGATCAGAGCAACTTCTTGAAGCCGGTCAAGATTGAACCTTATCCAGGTAAGGTTTAAGACTATTTTAGCTACTGCTGATGGGTTGTTCTTGAGTGCAATGGCGCTTAGAGTGCAGAAGCGATCTAAGATACTCCACCTTCATGGAGAACTTCTAGTAGTAGCACATCTGTGGGATGACCTGCGCGCCTGATCAGAGCAACTTCTTGAAGCCGGTCAAGATTGAACCTTATCCAGGTAAGGTTTGAGGCGATGTTTGCTATTGTTGCTGGATTTTTCATGATTATCATGTCATCTAAAGAGTGCAGAAGCTTGTGACTTGAAGGTTTTGATTGAATATACATAATTACAATATGAAAATGGCAGTATGTTTTACTGTCTTCAGTAAATAAAGTGGACGCTTACAGACAGACAGCTATCAATTAAAGCAATTAAAGAAAACCATTATTTTTATGTTTTCATTCTTATTAATAGGTTAACACATCTAAAAATAGTAAAAAATAAAGACAAAATGATCTGTTTGGTGAACGGTTCAACATATACACAATTACCCATACACTTACGCAATCCCCATACGAATAAAACTAAATATGGAGTTGGATGATTGTTTTATTTTGATCGAAAAATTCGTTTTTATAGGTGGAGCAGAATCCCGGCAAATAATCACAGAGATCGATTATCACCTTGGCGCGACTTACATGAATACAACCTACACGTCATGCTCGCAAGTAAGTATTATTTAATTTCAAAATGTGTTTTGTACATCACAAATCATATTTGCACCGCTTTCATATCGTCGCCGATGAGAATTGACCCTGCGACGACCAAACCTCTCAAACGTGAAAGCACCTATTATAACACAATGTCCCCGATTTGAAATACAACGACAAAATCACGAAATGCTCAATGTCGAACCATATAATCTTACAGATTTACTTAAAAAAGAAGTGACCATCAAAAGCCTTTAAAAATGAATCACCTATATTGTAAATCACCTAAAAGAATTCAACAAATAGAATGTAATCCAACTTATATAAAAAAAAATAGCACACTGTCTTGCAACTGGAGTAATCCAATAGCACCTTTTGCGAGGCACAACAAAAGATCATATTAAAAAAAAATTGAAATTCCGAATAGACAGACTGAATCTCAAAATTTGGGAACTTATTTGGTAAAGGTCTAATGTGTCTTAACTATTGAGAAAATACTAAATGGTGATATTTTCCTATCTACCCCATTGCATATCAGGGTCAATCGCTAGAAAGTTTATAAGAATAGCCTTGACAGCCTCGAACTCAAAACCATCATTCATCATCAGGTCATTAGTCTGCACTGCAGGAATACGAACGTCCTATTTACTTGATTCAAATGTGGGATTTCTCTTACAGTCCTTAACTCTCCACCTGACGGGTTGGGGAAACCTTTACGTATTATAAAGCCTAAAAACTAGGATGTGGCCTTACAGTCATTCACTTGTTACGGAATTCACTTTTTCTATCACTTACCTTAAATCAGTCATGATAAATTTATCTCAAAACAATCGCTTTCAAAACTTTATAGTTATTTACGTCAGTGTACATAAAAGACTTGGACAGTACTGCGACACACTTCATCTTTCAAATGTTGCACATAAAAATTGTTTACACTACCCACATTAGTAAAAATATTTATGTAAAAGTGGTGCGCCTTTTAGAAGAACGCTAGTAACCCACCCTGACCAGACAGGTTGGAGAGGCCTTTGCATATTACCAAGTGTAATAACTATGTCCTTTTCAGGTGCAAATGCCGTCCACCAACCAAGTGGTGATGGACATAATGTGCGGCTCCTACGGCTCGACCTTCTGCACGCCGCAGCGCTGGTTCGACTTCATGGGAGACGCAGAAGTGCCTCTGGTGCCCTTCCAGATCAACTACAAGAGTGGCGACGAGCCGAGCGATGGTTTTATACCTTACAACCCGGAGACACATCCTTGCAATGTTGGCAGCAAAGTAAGTTTCACTGTTCTATTGTTTCTTGAATCATCAGGATTTGTGAAGGAGCTGATACTGGTTGAGGCTTCATCATGAAGTAACAGCGCTGGTTCGACTTCATGGGAGACGCCGAAGTGCCTATAGTGCCGTTCCAGATCAACTACAAGAGTGGCGACGAGCCGAGCGATGGCTTCATACCTTATAATCCGGAGACACATCCCTGCAATGTTGGCAGCAAAGTAAGTAACACTGTTCTGTTGTTTCTCCAATGAACATTGAGTAGTGAAGGAGATGATACTGGCAGATGCTTCATCATGAAGTAACTGTGACTTCATGGGAGACGCCGAAGTGCCTCTGATGCCCTTCCAGATCAACTACAACAGTGGCGACGAGCCGAGCGATGGTTTTATACCTTACAACCCTGAGACACATCCTTGCAATGTTGGCAGCAAAGTAAGTTTCACTGTTCTGTTGTTTCTCCAATGAACATTGAGTAGTGAAGGAGATGATACTGGCAGATGCTTCATCATGAAGTAACTGTGACTTCATGGAAGACGCCGAAGTGCCTATAGTGCCGTTCCAGATCAACTACAAGAGCGGAGACGAGCCGAGCGATGGCTTCATACCTTATAACCCGGAGACACATCCCTGCAATGTTGGCAGCAAGGTAAGTTACACTGTTCTATTGTTTCTTGAATCATCAGGATTTGTGAAGGAGCTGATACTGGTTGAGGCTTCATCATGAAGTAACAGCGCTGGTTCGACTTCATGGGAGACGCCGAAGTGCCTATAGTTCCGTTCCAGATCAACTACAAGAGCGGAGACGAGCCGAGCGATGGTTTTATACCTTACAACCCGGAGACACATCCGTGCAATGTTGGCAGCAAAGTAAGTTACACTGTTCTATTGTTTCTTGAATCATCAGGATTTGTGAAGGAGCTGATACTGGTTGAGGCTTCATCGTGAAGTAACAGCGCTGGTTCGACTTCATGGGAGACGCCGAAGTGCCTATAGTGCCGTTCCAGATCAACTACAAGAGCGGAGACGAGCCGAGCGATGGCTTCATACCTTATAATCCGGAGACACATCCCTGCAATGTTGGCAGCAAAGTAAGTTTCACTATTCTGTTGCTTCTCCAATGAACATTGAGTAGTGAAGGAGATGATACTGGCAGATGCTTCATCATGAAGTAACTGTGACTTTATGGGAGACGCCGAAGTGCCTATAGTGCCCTTCCAGATCAACTACAAGAGCGGAGACGAGCCGAGCGATGGCTTCATACCTTATAACCCTGAGACACATCCTTGTAATGTTGGCAGCAAAGTAAGTTACACTGTTCTATTGTTTCTTGAATCATCAGGATTTGTGAAGGAGCTGATACTGGTTGAGGCTTCATCATGAAGTAACAACGCTGGTTCGACTTCATGGGAGACGCCGAAGTGCCTCTAGTGCCCTTCCAGATCAACTACAAGAGCGGAGACGAGCCGAGCGATGGCTTTATACCTTACAACCCGGAGACACATCCCTGCAAAGTTGGCAGCAAAGTAAGGAACTGTTCCATGGAGATTTGAGACAGGAGAGATTCGTCAAAGAGCTGATACCGACCGAAGATAATAGTATCAAGTAATTGGTAATACTTCTTGCATACCCTTGGTGGAACTGCAACTATTTGTCTTCCGCTTTGAAGACTTCAAAAGTTCTCAGAGTCTGCCATTTAACATTTCAGCTAAAGAACGCTGGACAAAGATTTCCTCCAAAGATTTCCACAACGAATGGTCCTGCATTGTCCGTATCCAGGTGTTCCCGCGACCTTCACCTGGTCTCTAGTCCATGATCGCCACTCGAAAACTTTTCTGCCCCAACTCCAATCAGTTCTACGAGCTATGTGCTGCAAGTTAAGTTATTCTATGGTGGAAACCCAACTAAAACTATACCTTAGCTCTTACTGATAAGGTCCCAAATGTCCCAGGGCCATCCCGGCTGTTCGTGCTTCGCCTGCCACCACGCCCATTCAGCATCCACGGCGCGATTAAGCTTCAAATGTCTTCAACGCAAATTATGCCTTAGTCCTTGTTATTGAAGCCTCAAATGCCTTTCGACCAGATCGTCCAGAATCTTTGGCGGAAACCCAACCAAAACGATACCTTAGCTCGTACTAATAAGGTCGCAAATCCCACCAGGGTCAACCAGGCTGTTCCTGCTTCGACTGCGCGGCATCTTGCCCAGCGCCGCCGACGCCGCCGCCGCCACCGCGTCCCTTCAGTATCCACGGCGCGATTAGGCTTCAAATGTCTTCAACGCAAATTATGTCTTAGTCCTTGTTATTGAAGCCTCAAATGCCTTTAGATCATCCAGAATCTTTGTCGGAAACGCAACTTAAACTACACCTTAGCACTTGGTAATAAGCTTCCAAATCCCACCAGGGTCAACCAGGCTGCTCCTGCTTCGACTGCGCGGCATCTTGCCCAGCGCCGCCGACGCCGCCGCCGCCACCGCGCCCATTCAGCATCCACGGCGCCGACGGTTATGCCGTCGTCATGGCGATCGTCTTCGTCATATTCACAACGCTGTTCCTAAGCGGGGTGTACTGCTGTAACCAGCCGGAGAACACTATTGGTGAGTTGGTAGTTATGATAGTTCAGTGGTATTCTTCTTACTCTAAGGCGGGTTTTAGAATCACGCTGACCGCTCGCTGATCGTCGGCTCTGACAGATTAATATGTATGTAATTGAAGGAAACGTTCTTGAGTGACGCTGACCGCTCGGCGCCGACGCTTCATACATTTTGGCTGTCAGCGCCGACGGTCAGCGTGCGTCAGCGCGATACTAAAACCAGCCTAAAGGTTGATTCAAACTTCACGCACGCATTCCCACTTGGCAATGTCAGTGACGACACAGTCAAAGGATTATGGAGAATTTATGAAAGAATATTTCGCATTGTGAACTGTGGTTTAACTGATATGACTGTGTGAATCGACCATAATTCGTGTTATGGAAATGTAGAGGTTACAGGAAATGTATGAATTCTAGGGATTGTATACAATTCCTAAGAATTATATACATTTTCTGTAACATAGACACAAAATAAGGTTGCAAACCAGCGACAAAAATAAAGGCACTGACGGCCTACTTGCCCCTGACCTGTATGTCACACACACATTATGTCTGGTTTGCTGTCTTGAATTTTTTAGATACCTACTTATATTTTGAGTAAGACTGATTCTGAAACTGAAAACTGCACTGATTCATGAAACTAAATAAAATACGTACTACGTATTTGATTAGGATTACAAGTTTATTGGATTTTGAGGTTTTATAAGTGAAGTCATATTAATTGATTTTATTTATAATGTACTCTATAACATTATAGCAATTAATGGTGTTGAAATAAGTAAGTATATCGCCCAATGTCAGAATGTAATCCCCTTTATTATATTAGTAAATTATACAATCTCTTCTAGTTATGGTGATGGATTGGATACTCCTTTCCTTTCTATACTAATGCTAATTTACAAGCACTTTAGAATATACACCTAAATATACAAATATCTTACTCAAAAAGAAACATCTACATGTGCAGTAAATGAACACTTTTGACCAACTTTCTTTATAATATACACAATGAATTTACTCATGATTGATGATACAATTTGAGAGTAAAATTGGTATAGCAAATAAGCGATTACTATTAGAACTATTTGTTTCTTTTTGTGTAAAGATTTCACGATATACACGCACGAGGTATGCATGCAGACTTGCACTATCTATCTATACTGATTTCCTTTTCTCGTTGAGTTGCATTTGAGAATCTATTTTATTTATTTACAGATAATGCATTTTTTAGAGTGCACATTCACTAGAACAAAAGGATGGCATGATTGTCTATCTTCTTTCAAAGTATACTTGATTTCAAAGCTATCAATGGAGGTGAATGTTAATAAGATTGTAATGATTAAGCTGTTATTATATTGATTAAAAAGTTTATTTTGTATAACGTGATCATAAAATCGCCAATGATTCGATAATAGAAGAAATACGTAGGTATGTAAGTCTGCATGTAACTTGAGTGTGCTGTTTACTGTTTACCAGGTGTTGGATTTGGGAATTTCCATTTATTAATTTTAACAGCTAGAATTTGACCTCTCATGAGTATAAAAAATAACTCGTAATGTTGCACAGGCGGCAATTACTTATTTGGAAACAAAATTGTTGAATATAATTACAAATGACATTCAATAAAATATAAAAGGAAATTCCCCAAATAGGCATGCTGAATTATTAGAGGATGGAAGTGGTATTATTTATAGATTATTTCAATTGTGGCAAATAATTTACTATAGAATTTTACCTTTATTTTACAAAAGACCTTTCTACACTGTTTTTCTTATGCCCAACCAGTGCATGTACCTCGCAAAGATTTTAGATTTGACCAATCTTATTATGTGTTTCTCACTCGTATCGATTTATGTAGGTAGTTATTCAGAGCTGCCTTAGTAGGCACTTAGCACTCAAACGTACTTTTTATTAGCTCTTATTATGCATTATTATTGTTCTTAAACTTCCTTGTATTTTATAGATATATGATTTGATGATAGTTATGTGTTCATCCATAGGCCATTTAACTTTCCTCTGGGACTAATTCAACCTTTTTGGTTGGGTCTCATTGGCATTCCAAATGTAGAGCCACAACATTCTATTGATGGCAAAGAGGCGCAGGAATTCGCCATAATTATTCGAATGGATGTGACTTCCACGATAGTGTTATGTTTTTGGGTAGTCTCCCATTATTACGTATTTTCTTTATTGTATTTTGTATGTATATTATTATCTTGACAAACAAAAGATAATAGTTCGAGCTCTCTCAACCGATAACAAACACGTGCCATAAACGTAGCTGTTTCTATGTTCGAGTTATTTCTATAGACGTTTTTGTTTAAATATGCACATAATATTATTTAGTGCACGTGACTTTCAGATGTTTCGTCCATCTCTTATTGTAGATGCTCACTAGTTATACTTGAAGAAATAACTAAGTTTTAATGCCTTCAAAAGGATCTGTTATAAACGTAATGTAACTCAGGAAAGCCTAAGTTCAGAAACATTACAATGTTAATAGTTATGGACCAAGTGTCTGTTATTTTTTTGCATTCAAAACTAATTGTTGCCGGAACACTAAAATATAGTCATTATATGAGTCAGAGTCATTACATTGACTGCAGGTATCCACAACTGAACTTGACACTTATAACTGAAGTACTAAGGTCTAATTTCCACGTAAACTATACATTGCACTGTAGGGATCATCTCAAGGTCTAGATTTGACACTTATAACTAAAGTACCAAGGTCTAATTTCCACGTAAACTATACATTGCACTGTAGGTATCCACAAGGTCTAGATTTGACACTTTCAACTAAAGTACCAGTCTAATTTTCACGTAAACTATACATTGCACTGTAGGGATCATCTCAAGGTCTAGATTTGACACTTATAACTAAAGCAATAAGGTTCAATATCCACGTAAACTATTTGCCACAATGGTCCTAACTTCGGTGCTTGGACAGACGGCTGGACGCGCGCGGCGGAGGCGAGGCGCGGTGGGCCCGAGACGAGTCCGCTGCACAGCCACAGATCTAGTACGTATACGTGTACGGGTACAACATGCGCGGGCGCAATGCACAACTGTTACTGGGATATGGACTTTATGTTTAGGGCCATAGGGTTCAGTTTGAAAGTAATGTTAATACTGGGTGTAGGGTAAGGGTTAATACTGGGACGTGTAAAAGTGCTTTTTAAAAGCCTATTTGCAAAAATAAATGAGTTTTAAACAACGATAGTGACTTGGGGTGCTTACCATTCTCTGCTTAGGGTTATAGAGATTAATTTGAAAGTAATCAATGATAGTGACTTGGGGGTTACCATGATTATTATCTTTGGGATAAAGGTACAGTTACAGATGCTCGTAAAATGTCATGCTTATTAACATGCTCAAAACGATCGTGCTTAAACAACTCGAAATGAGTATGCTTATTTAGTAAAAAATCGACACACATGCTACTCAATAATGGCATACTTTCGTGCTAGTAATGAACATTTGTGACTGTATCTTAAAACTTTTCATTTATCAGGTTTATCTACTAACGCCATCTGTATCTAGCATTAAAATGGAATTTATTTCCTTGTCTTCAATGGAATTTATTGGCCAATCTGTGACCTCACGGGCGTTAAAATTTATGACGCGATTAAAGATAAGCATTAATTCATTGTTTTCAATAATAATGTTATCAAGACATGCCCATGATCCGTGAACTACGTTTGTATGTAACAGTACAGTTGTGCATCTGTGCTATCGCGATTGCAGTTGTGTGTGATGCTGTGTAGTTGCACCTGTGTTGTGCATGTGACGTCACATTGCAAGCTTACGCACTCGAATGCCCCCCTCCCGACAAACTTTTACGTAGAATAGAACTAATCATTAAACTTTATGATGATCAAGTTCTTCAATAATTCAATGTCATCGTTCTTGAGTATTGTTGATAGTCAAAAGATTATCGGAAACGTCTATTGTGTGGAGAAATTCAACGATGAAACATAAGATGTGATAACTTGAAACATTTCGCTTTAGATCTGATAATGTGTGTGTATGAATAATTTATATGACAAAAGTTATTTACCCTGATTTATTTTGTAAAGTTACTAAACACTAAAGAAATATAATATCTTGCTTGCATGTGTTTTTGTTTCATGTTTGTGTTCGTAGTTAGTGAATGTGAATTTATTGTTTATTTTGCATAAATAAATCCTGACAGATCTGTCTAAAATATAATATAAATGGGTTTTATGGTGTTTCTATTAAAACTGAACTTACTAATACATTTATATCTTTATTCATAAATGATTTTCCAGCATGTGATATATATATTTAGTTGCTATTGTTTCGTTATCTATGGACAATGTGTACATTGTATTTCCCTAATACACCAAAACAAACAAATGTTTACTACATCTTGTTTGATCAATGTGTGTTTTGATTGTTTTTATATAAATTTTGTCATGTATTTTGTACTGTTTTATCTAAGTAATTGATAAACTCAATTTGTAGTTAGTTTTATTTAAAATATTTTGCTCTTAAAGCTATTAATAAAATAGTAGTATAGGCATTGCAGTTCTTCTTTAAAAATCGTAGTTTGAATCTTTGTGTCTATTCTGAACCTGTTTTCACCGGATAGGGATGAAAAAATAAACAAAATCACTATTTACAGTTTGATTATTAATAAATTAAAATAACATCAAATTATTTTTTCCTCCGGCCAAAACAGCTGGGCTACTCTGAAACCTTATTTACGTAGTTTCGGGTCTATCTATCACCTTCGCTCATGCTGGCATCTCGCTTTGCGTGAGAGGGATGGCAACATTCGAAACTTCGGATAACGTTTTTCGGAGTAACCCCGCAGGTTCAATCAATCGATTATTTTATTGAAATACAACTATTTATAATAGGCGTGGCATCTGACACGAATCAAGAGATGGCGTCCAACCCGCGGCCAGCCGACTGGCATATCGATCAAGCGGAAGGTGCGGAAAGCGCCACATTCTTCGAGAAGCTTGGTGCTGATACTGAGACAATGCTGGAGGATTTCTTCCAGTGGTGGGGAACCCTTATGGCTTCTAAACCCTGGACTGTGCTGTTCATTGGTGAGTATACATACTTTAGTTGTGTTATTTTTACATCTTTATGTAGTTATAATAATTGTTAAATGCACATGAGCTCCGATGTTTTCTCCTACGGAATTTTATGTTTCTTTATCAAAAGCAATATGTATTTACTATTAATTTCATGATAACTTAAGTAAAACTTCCCTTAGCTTTTCTTGTGATAAGTAAAGTTCAATTAAAATGTTTTATCATGTTCTTTAGTTAGTAAGATGCCTAAATGCCTAAGAGTAGTTTCGCACTACGTCCAACTCTAATTCGTGAGAATACGGTCGGGATTAGAATTACTTGTTTGGTAGTTTACGCACTTGATCCGATTTACGTCATTCGATTTATCTAGTTAGATTTATACATCCGTATTTTTATTGATTCCAATCGGACCTAGTGCAAAACCGTTGTAACGATAACTTATATCGCCCGTATTCAAAAATATTACTCAGGAGGTCATACACGAACCAATCACAGAGCTCGCTCTGCGCATTTCAACACTGTGCGTTCGATTTGCTGCTTCACTTAAGCAAGCATGGTTTGTAAATACGGGCGTATGTGTACAGAAAAGCTGCAACATTTTCTCATTCTCTACAGGATTCTGCGTAATCGTCGCCCTCGGCCACGGCATGAAATACACCCAGCTGACCACAAACCCGGTCGAGCTGTGGGCATCCCCGCATTCCCGTTCTCGCATCGAACGCGAGTATTTCGACTCCCACTTCGAGCCGTTCTTCCGTACGGAGATGATCATCATCAGCAGCAAGGGAATGAATAAGATTGAGTACGAAACGCCGTCGGGTATTATGGAATTCGGGCCGGTGTTCAACTCGACGTTCTTGCTTGAAGTGCTTAAACTACAGAATGATATTATGGGTGAGTTTCTTTGTTTAATTTTTATCTTTGTTTGTAGAGCACATAAGAGATATTTTCAATGAACAATGAGCTTTTTGTCGTCTATCGTGTCACTTCATTTTCCATGACCCAATAGTAGGCCTAGGCAGGTGTCAATTACTGATTCCCGCTAGTTCCTAAGCTTATCCTGTCACAAAATGTTAATAGTAAAATGTAGACTTCTCGCCTCTCTAAGGAAGCCTCAGGCAATCTGCAATCTGCAGACTACAGACTTTACTATTGCTTTTTTCGGCTGATAGTTTGTTCGGGCGGTAAATCTGTATGAATATTATGAAAGTACACACATTACATCGATTTGGACGATATCAAATTAGAAGCGGACCAAACTATCGGCCGACTAAAAGTCTGTATCGGGGTGTCTAAAAGAGCACCATCTCACTTTTATTTGGTCTAGCCATCTTGGAGCCATGTTATATCGTTGCTAAAATCGCGCACAATGGTCCAATCACAAGGCTAAGTGCGGTATTCGATTGCCCTGCAAAACTAACTTTTTTTTTTTTCATTATTGAGCAATTACATATTTGATCCAAATAGCGTCCTAAATCCTCTTTAGGTTTGTCTAGACACTATTGTTCTCTATACAAATAAAAACAAACGTTTTAGTATAACTATATCGTTGCTTAATTCCTACCTTAACTTTCAGCGCTTCACGGCGCCGACAACACTGGCATCGAGGAGATTTGCTTCGCGCCTCAGACGTCACCGTTCACGGGCCCCGTGACGCCGGAACGGTGCACCGTGCAGTCCGTCTGGGGCTGGTGGGGCAACGACGCCGACGAGCTGCTGCAGGACTTGGACGACAACAAGTACCTGGACCGCGTCATCTCGTGCTCCAAGTGAGTGACGTCACTGCACACAGGAGAGCCGCCTCGCNTTTAAGTTACACTCACCCCAACCGCGTCTCCGCATTGCATCGAATCCTATGAAAATGTGGTTTTTGGACATAGCGATACTTAATTTTCACAATTTTAATTTTCTTAAATTACTGGTCGATAGGTTACTATATTTTGATGAATAAATGTTATTAAAAGTTTTTTTCTAAAACTGATGGTTTAGCTGGAAAAAAATATTTTCCATCCCAATAGTACGCCGGCTGCGCTCGATTCGGATATAATGACGTCACGCGGCCCTGCGTACGTTGACTTTTAGCGGCAAAAACGGCCTATGTTTATTACTTAATATCTTCGTAAGTAATGGTCCGATTTGGATAATTCAAAAAGATATATCTTTCTTATGTCTTAAAGATTAACGTAGATACTAGTTTTATTGAATTTTCTACAACAGTACTGATCCTCATTCCGAACTTGTTAGTTCTCTTTCACGGCTCAGATTAAATTAGGAACTTATTATTTAATCTAGACGTTAAGGCTCCATTAACCGAGACCCGGTGCAGTTACACCCGGTTTCCCTTTGAAGAAGAACTCGGCGTTTCTAAATTAATTTAAACTGCTGAGACAAGAAATGCGATGCTTTTAGATCGCCAAGGCTACCTTTGTTACTGCGCTCTATTACCGTCAGAAGAAACGCTTGGAAACTATTGCGTAAAGAAAGTTTTAAATAAGCAAGCAAATACTTGCTTGCTTATTTAAAACTTTCTTTACATACGTGTCTCCTTGAACACTTGACATTGGCAGAATCACTGCGGCAATAAATCAGGGGAATAGTCCAAAAAATAAAAAATAAATAAGCAAGCAGACAAATACTGTCTTCTGTTATTTTTTATCTTTAGTATCTGGGTACTAAATAAAAATTTCTGTGTACTAAACCTGTTCCAAATAAAAACATCGGTCTACTGGCCACACGCAAAAAAGTGACAAAGATAGGAAAATATTTCCTTAGACCTGAATTCCTAACCTAATCTAACCTATCTCCCACAGGCGAGCAAGTCCGCATAATGAGCTACAACAAGAGCGGCGAGTGGTGCGAGGCCCACACGCTCTCCGGCGGCGTGGGCTGGGTGCCCAGCAACTACGTCACGCCCGTCAACTCGCTCGAGAAGCACTCGTGGTACCACGGACCCATCTCGCGCAACGCCGCCGAGTACCTGCTCTCCTCCGGCATCAACGGCAGCTTCCTCGTGAGTCGTTACTTTGTGCCCTCTTCCCATGCAACAGCGTCTATAATGGGCCAGCAGCTGGGGCCTGGTGTTGGTACGCGCCCGTCAACTCGCTCGAGAAGCACTCGTGGTACCACGGGCCACTCTCCTCCGGCATCAACGGAAGCTTCCTTGTGAGTCGTTACTTTGTGCCCTCTTCCAATGCTACAGCGTCTATAATGGGCCAGCAGCTGGGGCCTGGTGTTGGTACACGCCCGGCAACTCGCTCGAGAAGCACTCGTGGTACCACGGGCCACTCTCCTCCGGCATCAACGGGAGCTCCCTCGTGAGTCGTTACTTTGTGCCCTCTTCCCATGCAACAGCGTCTATAATGGGTCAGCAGCTGGGGCCTGGTGTTGGTAAGCGTCAACTCGCTCGAGAAGCACTCGTGGTACCACGGCCCCATCTCGCGCAACGCCGCCGAGTACCTGCTCTCCTCCGGCATCAACGGCAGCTTCCTCGTGAGTCTTTACTTTGTGCCCTCTTCCAATGCTACAGCGTCTATAATGGGCCAGCAGCTGGGGGCTGGTGTTGGTACGCGCCCGTCAACTCGCTCGAGAAGCACTCGTGGTACCACGGGCCACTCTCCTCCAGCATCAACGAAAGCTTCCTCGTGAGTCGTTACTTTGTGCCCTCTTCCCATGCAACAGCGTCTATAATGGGCCAGCAGCTGGGGCCTGGTGTTGGTACACGCCCGTCAACTCGCTCGAGAAGCACTCGTGGTACCACGGGCCCCTCTCCTCCAGCATCAACGGAAGCTTCCTCGTGAGTCTTTACTTTGTGCCCTCTTCCAATGCTACAGCGTCTATAATGGATAACAACATTTTTGTTTAGATCTAGCAGGATTCTAGTCTCTCATCCCATCCCATCCCAATTAAATCATAATTTAATAGGGTGCATTTCAGTCTATCTATTATCTCCAATCTTCTTACAGCAGAACTACGGGTCCATCTTTAGAACCTCTGGCATGAATTGGTGCATGCTCGTGAGACATCATAATCAATAGGAATTATCAGGTGTTATCAGTGAAGCAGTAGTAGGGTTAATACAACTGCTTTCTAAAAGCCTACTTACAAAAATAAATGAGTTTTTATCGTTTAGGTTCCTTTAGTGAGTGAATGAATGAGGGTTAATGTCTAACTTGATATGTTTACTTCCTTAGGTTCGCGAATCCGAATCTAGTCCAGGCCAAAGAAGCATCTCCCTCCGCTACGAGGGCCGCGTTTACCACTACCGCATCAACGAGGACAGCGACGGGAAGGTACGTGCTCTTTGATCAAACTTCAATAATAAATTGATACTTATGTGGAACAGGATAAGGTTAAAATCAAATCTCCATGCAGAAGGTGATAACCATCTGGTTGACGGCGGTATCGAAAGTTCAAGAGAGGAAAAATAGACCCTGAAATGGCAACCATATTAAACATATCTTAATTAAGTCTTTCAAGCCAGTTTGTCGACGGATTGAGATCTAAACTGTCTAACGAAAGTTCATTAAAACTGGTTAAACATTTAGGTGTGAAGCGTGAAATAAACTAACACAGTTTGTACTTATTGCTACATTTATAATTATGTGTTTAAATTCGATATCTGACATAGGAGGCGTCAAAGTGCCTTTCAAAGCATGAAATTAACATGATGTTCAAGCATGAAATCTTCTTTCATAACCAGTGTGCTATCCTAGAATTACATTACGTCGTTCACGTTATATTTCAAATGAAACTAGGTCACGTAGCCAAAAACTTTTATCTGACACAAACTGAAATTCAAACTATACTGGTCATCACAAAAATCGGCCCACCTACGTTTTACAGGAAAACTCGTTTCTACTGACACAATCATGGTACCCCAACTATATTGGTGTTATTTGAAAGCCCAATAAAATATCTTTAAAGAAAAACACATTTAATTTCTTAATAAAAGATTAACATAAACGCGATATACAATAAAATGTGACTTGAAAAAAGACCTCACTTTGGGCTCATCTCTGGGATCAATTAGACCAATTTTTATGGTTATAAAACCAAATAATGATCTCACGTGTCCTCTTTAACAGATGGATAGCGATTAATCCCAACTTAACAGTTTTATAGCCAGGCTCAAGCGTAACTACCTATTTTTTGAAGAAGTGACTCTGGACTCTTCTACAGACACATTTTTGGGGTAAATGAAATGAAGTTTAAAACTAGGCTTTTAAATAGTGCCAATATTGGTGGGAAGTGGGGATGCATACGTTTGAAAGTGCTTGTCGCGGGAGGGTCGATTTTTATGATGACCAGTGTATTTTGCTTTGTTTTGAAAGTTAAATAAAAATAATATTTAACTTTTACTATTTGATTTAAAATCCGTCGCCCGTGGCTTGATTCGCGCGCGAACTAGTTATTCTGTAAATTCCGGGACGAGAAATAAAATGTAAAATACGTAAAATGGAATGAAAGTATTCAATCCCTTATTCAAATGGAATTTCGCTTTAAATACCAACTGTTATTTTGTCGGGTTTCAGTATCAGTGCTGTTATTGAAAAAACATTTGCAGTGCAATTATTTCGTTCTGAGTAATTTTACCCTGAATGTAAAACATTTTTTATGGTTTTGGTAAATATGAATTTATCAATAAAAAGCGTATTGTTATTTCACACAATGAATGAACTTCATAGAATTCGATTCAGAGTGGAATTATTTATTTGAATAAAGGTGAATTAAGTAGGAATCAGTCAGATATTTCGTTTAAAATTGACAAAACTGTTTTAATGGTCTTGCGTGAATGCTGGACTTCAGACTTTTTTGTTTTCCACATTTTCGTGTAATTTGATCATTTAATAAAAGAAACAAATTTTCTTGCGTTGAAATCATATTTGCCTTCCTAATTATTAGTTCCTCAAACAGAACTAATTTTACGTAAACCATACATAGATAAGTACCTACATAACTTTTATGTGGAATAACATGCGGGATGTTTGTAAAAAAATATTCACGTATTTGTATCTGTGTACAAACTAAAATCTACACAGATCGGTAATAAAATATTTTGTAAAACAATCAATTAGCAAATTTCAATTAATTATCGATGCTGTTTTTACCAATAATCGGATCGGAGTTGTAAATGAGAGCATAATTATCGAATTAGAATCGAGTTCGCGTGTTCGCATCCCGTATCTAAATAATTGGTGTTATCCACAAGTTTCTCTTGTAAACAATTCGCGGTGTGACGCATGAACTGAAGGTAGTTGGTCAAACTCCTGCAAAGTTTGCAGGCGGTTAGAGGTCGCATGATGAGGGAACTCGTGTAGGCGACGCGCCGTAGAACATCTTTCTAATACGAACAAACAATAGCCGATTGTGCTAATGAGGTGTCGATTTAATGTTTTATAACTTCATTTCGTTCATTTGTCTCTCTATTAAAAAAATATGCAGCTCTAAAATAGCATAGTAGATAGATACATAAGTATCTACAATTTTCAGAAAAATACGCACACTGAAAAAAATGTTTGGTTACTGCTTACACAACAAAAGTTACCACCGGAACTAAGTGTTAACTATAACCAAACTAAGTCTAACTCCTACAAAATTATTTGTTTAATTTACGCAACATTTTGTTCCTCATAACCAAAGTGTTCGGTGGTCACTTTTGTTGTGTAAGCAGTAACCAAACATTTTTTTCAGTGCAATGGGAAAATTATACTTCGTCGCTGCATCCTCGAGATTTTCATATTTACCAGGTAGTCCACTTCTCATTGTACTAGGCATCGACACAGGAGAGCCGCCTCGCGCCTCAGGTCTGGGGCTGGTGGGGCAACGACGCCGACGAGCTGCTGCAGGACCTGGACGACAACAAGTACCTGGACCGCGTCATCTCGTGCACCAAGTGAGTGACGTCACTGTACAAAACAGACAACGGCTACGATCTCCTATTAAACGCTATACGCCGGGTGCGTTTGTCACGCGGCCTACGATGTGAGTTGTGACGCTGTATGCGGCCTACGGTGTTTATAGGAGGCTAAAGCCTTTGAGTGCATAGGTGGGGTGACCCGTCCTGCGCTGCCCGCATCCAGTCGCTTTATTGTAACTTTCAACAGGTTGTTGGTGCCTCGAGTTACATCTTCTAGTGCGTGGTTGCGACTTTAGCACTTTTCCTCAAGTTTTACCTTAAGTTCGATGACTTATGTGCCCCGCCCACTACCAATGATGAGACTCTAATGACAGTTTAACTCTCCCCCGTGACAAACGTGACCCTACCTGGTTGGGTTTTTATGCTTTTTATGTTTAGATCCTGTCTACTCAAGAGTTGCAGCGGTGGCAACGAGAGGTGGGAATAGACTTGATTCTTGTGACTCTCACGCTCACAAAACATAACGCGTCAGAAATGAGTAAGATAGAAGGATCAGGACACATCCGTCTAGCGATGTACAGATTCCCATTAGGCTAAATAATGTGTTATCGTATGTAGTAATAAGTGCTATTTTGTCACAGCAACCCGTACCTATGCCTGGCTCCGTACGGCGGTCCGGCGCTGCCGGCGGTGGCTCTCGGCGGCTTCCTCGCGCCGGGTGAGCCGCTCACGCCGCGCTCGAGATTCCACGAGGCGCAGTCGCTTATTATCACGCTGCTGGTCAACAACCGACACGATAAGGCCAAGGTAAGCGACTATAGTCTGGTCCGTGAGCACGTAGAATTTTATCCAATGACCCCTAGCTACCCATCCTTATCGCTCGCGCGTAATTATATTGCTGTCGCGACTGTGCGACTGGCACCCGCAGTGTGCGAAAAAAAGTGTGCGAGCGCGATAACAACTTAATTACGCTCGAGCGATAAGGATGGGTAGCTAGGGGTCATTGGACAAAATTCTACGTGCTCACGGACCGGGCTTTAGTGATGCACGAGTATGTATAGTCAGATTGCCGGTTGACTTCGATGTTGTAGTAGAGTTTTAGCATAGACGCAGACCACCGACTTTTAGTTGTTAGCTGTTAAACAATATGGACATACATGAAAATGCGCACATTACACCGATTTCATATCGGTCGATTCTTCATACAAATTAAAATCGGGCCCAACTATCGGCCAACTAAAAGTTAGTGGTCTGCGTCTAGGCTTGTGAGCAAACCTGCCCTAGATTTACATTCGTGATTGATTCAATTTCACAATCGCTACGTATCGTCTCTTAGTTGGGTACACAACGCTGCAAAAAGGCGTTGAATCGTCGACAAGCATTGTTGATAATGGCAATATTATCGATTTTGTCTGTAATTTTACATTACAATTACTATCGATGCAAATTTTTCTATGATTGTGAATTGACTTAATAGACTATTGTTTTAGATAATTTGGAAATACTGCAATAGATTGCAGCTACTGTTGGTTTTCTCAACTTTCAAAATAGTAACAGTAATATCCTAAATAACTTACTCATAGTTATGAGAAATGGCAAATACCAAACGTGATATTAAATCAATAAACTGTCTTTCAGCTGAAACCCGCTCTGGAGTGGGAAAAGGAATTCATCGCATACATGAAGAACTATACAGAGAATAATATGCCTTCGTACATGGACATAGCGTACACATCCGAACGGTCGATCGAGGATGAATTGGACAGAGAATCGCAGTCGGACGTGTCGACTATACTCGTCTCTTACTTCATAATGTTCGCATATATCGCTATCTCGCTCGGCAGGTTCACTAGCTTCTCGAGGTTGCTTATTGACAGCAAGGTCACTTTGGGTATTGGAGGTGAGTCTTCAATATTTATTATAATTTTTATCATCATCATCATTTTCAGCCATAGGACGTCCACTGCTGAACATAGGCCCCCCCCAATGATTTCCACAAAATATTTTTTCATGATAGACTCATATTTTCAGATTCACTTTTCCTAGTCTCTTCATGTTAGTCGCAAAAATCGTTCTTAGCTGACGTATGTATACGTTGCCAAGTTCTAGCATTAAAATAAATTATTTCAAACAGCTTTCGAGATTTCGTATTTAGTAGGGTGTTATAGAGACTTTCGCTTGAGGATTCAAGCAAGTTGAATTGATAGATGAATACATTTAGTTGATCATAGACAAAGACGTCTCTTATTACAGCTATAAAACACGCCAAAATCTTTAGCTTGATATACCGCTATCTAACAGAATAATATAGACCTTATGCAATATTTTGCGGTCAATTTTATTTATTTACACTTACTTGCTTATTTACTCTACAGTCTATCTAAAGCCTGGTCTGTGAGCACGTAGAATTTTGTCCAATGACCCCAAGCTACCCATCCTTATCGCTCGCGAGTAAATATGTTGCTGTCGCGCTCGAACACTCACTGCGGGCGCCCGTCGCACCGTCGCGGCAGCAATATAATTTACTCGCGAACGATAAGAATGGCTTGGGGTCATTGGACAAAATTCTACGTGCTCACAGACCAGACTATAACAACACGCAATAACAGCACCAATATTAAACCACAACCTTCCTTCCAGGTGTCCTCATCGTCCTAGCATCGGTCGTCTGTTCAGTGGGCTTATTCGGTTTCGCCGGCGTCCCAGCCACACTTATCATAGTGGAAGTGATACCCTTCTTGGTACTGGCTGTGGGTGTGGATAATATCTTCATCCTCGTGCAGACCAACCAGCGCGAGGGTAGACGGCCCGATGAGACGGTTGCTGAGCATATTGGGAGAACGTGAGTTGTTTATACTTTCTGTAGGTGTTAAGTTTTAGACCTACTATGTAAGTGGTTTTGATTTCAAATTAGGGACACATATTGTGCTGGGTTTTGAAGAAAGTAATCACACCCTGTTAGTTATTTATGGTCCACGTTTATGGTCATTTTGTACTTGCAATAACAACAAATTACTATAGTCTGGACCGTGAGCACGTAGAATTTTGTCCAATGACCCCTAGCTACCCATCCTTATCGCTATCGCCAGTCGCACAGTCGCGACAGCAATATAATTAACGATGGGTAGCTAGGGGTCATTGGACAAAATTCTACGTGCTCACGGACCGGGCTTTAGAGCAATTAAAGTTCGATGATGATGTTACTCGGTCTTGTTGCATTTTAAAATCTTCAAAGTATGTTAGAGTTGACTATAAAATATGCATCTACCTTGATGAAGGAAAACGAAAAAAAAGGAAGATATCGGGATTGTCTTCCTCCATATTTAAAGTTGAATAATAAGACATTTTAATCGAACAATTACATACGTAACGTAACACAATTTGTTTTTTCCAGGCTGGGTCAAGTGGGCCCGTCAATGTTACTGACGTCAGCATCCGAGTGCGTGTGCTTCTTCCTAGGAGCCCTATCCGATATGCCGGCCGTGCGAGCCTTCGCTCTCTACGCGGCCATGGCTCTATTAGTGGACTTCCTGCTGCAAGTCACTTGCTTTGTGGCCCTGCTGGCTATAGACACGAGAAGGCAGAATGATAACAGGTAAAAAACCAGCACTCCAGTTGTACCTTCGTGCAGTAGAGGTAGGTCACATGGTGAACAATAGCCCCTCTAGGTTCGAGGTGCAGGTGACAGCGGTCAGAAGTCACGCTAAGGCTGCGGTATGCGTAAATCTGACTTCTTGCTGCAATTAACTTGCTTCGTGGCCCTACTGGCTATAGGTACAAAAAGGCAGAACGACAATAGGTGAAACGGTCAGTCAGCAGAATAGAATAGGACCACCCTCTCTCTTCCCGTGGATGTTGCAAGACGCAACTAAGGGATAAATATTGGAACATCAATGAGTTATAGACGATGAGTAAAACGCCCATCACGTAGCTATTACAAGACCGCTGAGGTTAGGACTCAATGACGAATGTGGTAATAAGTCTATGGCCAACAGTATCAGTCGTGAGGTAAGCTCTTGATCTACACCTCACTCAATGGAAAGATCAGTGGTGCGATTGTCTAAGGCAATCGTATCTGGGNTTAACTTACCCTTACTTAACTTTAGCGAAATCATACTCTGAAATGAATGACGACTCGACGGTTGGAGGGGTGTGACGTTAGCGTGCCCCACTACCGCCGGATATCGAGTCATAACAAGTACTTTTTTGTATTGTATGCTCTAAAATGTTCGATGCCTAGTACAATGAGAAGTGGACTACCTGGTAAATATGAAAATCTCTTCGGATGCAGCGACTCGTATAATTACGGTCAAACTTCACTTAAGGTAAGTTTGTTTAACCATAAATTTTACGCGTTATTTTTTTTTATTCCGTGGCACCCTTTGTGTGCAAGCCCCGCTTGATTGGGTTTACCATACCGCGCTTTATCGCACAGATTTATAATTTAAAAGCCTTTGACGTCCACTCTTCCAGCCTTTTTGCGTACGTCACCAGCGTGCATTCGAAAAACGCTCGTCGACGTTTGTCACCTGAACGAGGCTTAAAGGCTAGTGCATAATTCAGCTGCTAAAAATCATTATAAAGGTAATAGCGGATAAAAATAAATGCACCATTAGTTTATGAGTCTGAAGAAATCGACCTTCAAGCGCTGCTACTCGTATATTGGCCGTCAATACTTCTGTCTGTCATAGTTCACAGAAGTAAAAATCTAGATCTGCTCAAACTAAAAAGCTCGCAATCGAATCCTGCAAAGTTTACACTTCAATTGGATGTGCATTAGCATTAAAACCGATAAGTGCTTCAAGTTTTATAACTATTACTAGCTTTCCGCCCGCGGCTTCGCCCGCGTGGAATTTTGTCTGTCACAGAAAAACTTTATCGCGCGCGTCCCTGTTTCAAAAACGGGATAAAAACTATCCTATGTTCTTTCCCGGGACTCAAACTATCTCTATGCCAAATTTCATCAAAATCGGTTGCGAGGTTTAAGCGGGAAAGCGTGACAGACAGACAGACAGACAGAGTTACTTTCGCATTTATAATATTAGTTGGGATTAGTTGGGATACTTCTAGTTGCCATAGAAAAGTGCTTTCAATCAGCGCTAAGTAATAGGAACAGTCCATTATTATCATAATCGAACAGCGAGAAACAAAGTACGTTTTTAAATTGCATCGTTATAAGAAAACCCCTAGTTGAATAGTTGGAACGTGCCCTTATAGCTCAATTATAAACTTTGATTGTGCCCGTGGCAAGACTCGCGTGGGCGGTGCACAGATTGTTGTGAATTTCGTTTGTGATTTTAACGTCAACCACAACACAGAATCGGCGTGAAATGAAGGCTCGCCGATATTGACGTTGGTCGGTAAATAAAATCCGCATTCCGACTAGCTTATGCACGCGACTCTACTCGCGCGAAATTCGTTAAAATATAAATCACTTTTGTGCGCTGCTGAATCAAAAAGTTAAATAGAAAGGATGCTATAGTAGATCATCTTCTCGGTTTTGTTTTTAATTTTATAGATACGGAGAACTTATCAGTTTTAAATCTAACTACAGACCTTACGCGCATTTTTCAGAACTATAGAGGCTAGTACACATTCATGCATAGTTAATTTGTCTCGTTTAAAGATTCACCATTGCCACCAGTGGCCTAATTCACGTATCAAAACTTCAACGACATGCAAGCGATTTGATCGCTGCAGTCACTTTTCGTATTCACGTATCATCGCCCGATTTTGTTTCGATTCCCTTTTTATGCGTATTCGATCGATCCTTCGCGGTATTCACCTATTCTGATGTTTGGTTTAATCGAATGCCAGTGATTAAATCGAAGTAGGTAATCGATCTATCGTGAATACGGATTTAAAACTGTTTTTCAATAGGACTTAGAAGTACTTTTTTTCCTATCCGACATCTGGGGGCACGGCAGTGCCCCCGACAAGTCGAGCGCGAAGCAAACACTGCCGTACCATCCTTTACTGGAACCATTTCGCCGCATTTTCAGGCCCCTATTTGAGAACCTCTGGATAAGACCAGAACGCAGAAATTTTCGTCATCTAGTAAGCTATAATCACATACTTTAAATCCAAAATTTCAAGTCTGTAGGTCATTTAGTTCCGAAGTTAAGCGAAAGCAAAGTTTCGCATTTACGACACTCACTCACTCACTCACTCACTGATGATCATCAAAATAGAACTAGTACTTCCCATTAACTCAGAGGGCTGAAATTTGGTACAGAGTTAGGGTTTAATGGCCACATAAAGGGAAAACTATAAAAACTAGGAAAATCGAAGATCTGGAGTAACCACATTCATAATCAATACTACTCCGGCCCCGTGGTGTTCGCCTGTATCGCTCACCGCTAGATGGCGCTAGCACTAGCAAGCGGTGTCCAGATTTTTTTCCTTTCTAGAGAAAGTCGTCGATTAAGTTGAATGTTGTGTAATTTGCATTTCGTTGATTTCGTTTATTATACTGTAAGGTTCGCTTAGGTTATGTTATAAAAAAAGTCTCGATGGAGCTGCTTGTTTATCTCTAAAAAGTAATGAAATCTAGACAAAGTCGTGCCAAGTCTATGGTTCCTTACTGCGATTTCTTTATTATTATAGTTAATGTTGTGTGACTTGGCCGTTGAACAATCTTTATTAAGATAATTTTACTGAACCTACAATTGACTGGTTATTGTTGAATCAACGTTTTCCAAGTGGCAATTTTCCATCGTCAATGGGTAGCGGTTCTGGCGACAGATTGGTGCAATGGTGTCATGGAGCACCTGGTTTTGTCACCCTTCAACGGCCAAGTCACACAACATTAACTATAATAATAAAGAAATCGCAGTAAGGAACCATAGACTTGGCACGACTTTGTCTAGATTTCATTACTTTTTAGAGATAAACAAGCAGCTCCATCGAGACTTGGCTAGTTTTTTACAGAATGTTTTTGGTGGGATTTTGATTACAAAATACGTGAATGAGCAACAAAATACGGGCTATCGTTTTAGCGCTCACCAGTTAGCACCACAGTAGAGTAAGGTCCTGTCACTTGCTAGTAGCGAAGACAGTGGCACCAACTTGTGAGCGCTAAAGTGGTAGGAGGACTATCGCATTTGCACTCATCAAGATGGCGCCACTGTAGAGTAAGGTCCTGTCAATCGCCAGGGGTGCCAACTGTTAAGTATAAAAACGATAGCCCTCATCAGGCCACAGATGTCTGATGAAGCTTATTCCCCGTCAGGTGTACGTAACATCCGAGTCCAAGTTCGGCACGCTCGCCGAGCTGGTCCACCACCACTCGGTGCTGGGCGACGGGCTGATCACCCAGCTGCTGTACCCGGCTCCGAAGCGGAACAAGCCCACTGTGTTCCCGCTCGCGCCGCCTGACGAATGGGAGATCGACCGCACCGACATCGTCATGAAACACAAACTCGGCGGCGGCCAGTACGGCGACGTTTACGAGGCCACCTGGAAGCGCTGCAACATCACGGTACGTACAGATTCGCAAGTGCTAGTGTTTGAACGCTTTCACATTTAGGCGATTTAGCAGCGCTACAAACGCGCTGCCGAAAATTTCACACTATATGACAGCGGATACATGCCTTCACATTATAAAAACGCCGCTGCAGTCGCGCTACTAACGCCCTAATGTGAAAGCGCTCATAAGGACCCGAGCGAATGACACGCTTGAAGTGTTACGTGTACAGGTTGCACAAGAAAACTCAGCAGCCTGGGGAAGCTTTGAAACTGAATCCGAATTGGATATGTTTTTATTTTAATAAAAAGTCTTATTTTATAGAAAAAACATCAAGTTTTGCTATGTAATAAAAATTGTAGCAGCTAAGGTATTGCAAAAAGTATGAGAACAACAGTTTTAAATTGTTATTATAATCAGTTCGCGTGTTTACATTACTACCGATCTACGAACCATGTCTACGTTTATCCTCAAAAAGTTGTATAAAAATATGTGCATGTGGATTGAGTGATCCTTGCTTCAATCTTAACAAAAATCGAGGAAGTTTTACTTAAAATATGTTAAAACATTGCGATGAAGTTTAAAAATTTGTTAAACCTAAGATAAAAATGTTATGGCCAATAAATAGGAGCACTCATACCGCACGCTTTAAGAAAACGTCAACATGTTTATTTCAGAAAATAAAGCCTTTCCACTTCTTTTTATAGTATTGAAAAATTGTTAAGAATATGTTAAAACTATTAACAAATTCAGAAATTCCTTGCACGTCCCGTTCCAAAGTTATGACGATTATTTAGGATCACTCACACCGCACACGGGCCGTATGAGTGCTCTTCAAAATAATGACTTTTTATTAATAAATACGTTTTATTTCTGTTGGGAAATGTGTGCAAACTGACGAGCGAATTTGTTAAAGAATAAGTGTGACAAAACTTAAAAGCTGAAGGAAGAAATTAACCTTTATTCTTTCCTCCAATATGCCGTGTGAGTGATCCTTACTTTTACCTCTATCTGCTCATATGTAGTTCGTAGGCAGACTGAGATAGTATCTAAAATTGTTAATTGTTTTTAACAATTATTTGGCATATATTTTGCTTTTATTAAGGTCATAATTTAAGAAATATCAGGCTTAGATGATTCCTAAAGGAAAATGTTGATTAGGGTACGTATGATTTTTTATTTTGAGAGACTGTTTCGATTCATCAGAAGTTTACATGTGAGATTTAATAATATTATTTTATCGTATTTTATAGTCCAACCAAAAAAAAACAGTTTTGTTGAGAAATTTGTAATTTATTTAAATAAAACCGTGAGTATCTTTCTCAATTCATATTACAAGTCAAATTTGAATTCAATCCTATAAACAATTGTAATGTTTCTTTATTTCTATCATTCAAGATGTAGGGGTAAACCACTAAAACTCGCGCTACTGCCGACCGCGGCGACGGACGCCCCCCGCGAGTTTTAGCGGAGGCCCCTAAACCTACTACATATTAGATTGCATTGGTTTTGCATTGTCACGTCTGACGAATCGGAACAGTCTCACAAAATAAAAAATCATATGTACCCTAATCAACATTTTCCTTTAGGAATCATCTAAGCCTGATATTTCTTAAATTATGACCTTAATAAAAGCAAAATATATGCCAAATAATTGTTAAAAACAATTAACAATTTTAGATACTATCTCAGTCTGCCTACGAACTACATATGAGCAGATAGAGGTAAAAGTAAGGATCACTCACACGGCATATTGGAGGAAAGAATAAAGGTTAATTTCTTCCTTCAGCTTTTAAGTTTTGTCACACTTATTCTTTAACAAATTCGCTCGTCAGTTTGCACACATTTCCCAACAGAAATAAAACGTATTTATTAATAAAAAGTCATTATTTTGAAGAGCACTCACACGGCCCGTGTGCGGTGTGAGTGATCCTAAATAATCGTCATAACTTTGGAACGGGACGTGCAAGGAATTTCTGAATTTGTTAATAGTTTTAACATATTCTTAACAATTTTTCAATACTATAAAAAGAAGTGGAAAGGCTTTATTTTCTGAAATAAACATGTTGACGTTTTCTTAAAGCGTGCGGTATGAGTGCTCCTATTTATTGGCCATAACATTTTTATCTTAGGTTTAACAAATTTTTAAACTTCATCGCAATGTTTTAACATATTTTAAGTAAAACTTCCTCGATTTTTGTTAAGATTGAAGCAAGGATCACTCAATCCACATGCACATTATAAAAATGAGGATACTTGCTACCGTAATAAAACTGTATGTAATATGTATCATTTATTTATCTATCTAGCCAAGTCTCAAAGACTGCCAGTTTTCTTTTGCATCCTGTATGCGACGATTGGCACATCTGTGCACAGGCCCAATACCACTTAGTCATAGTAGTTCAGCAAACGTAGAGGCATAGTGATTCGAGTCACTTACACCTTTTTGAAGACGTCGTGCAACTGAACGAATGTAACCTATAGATTAGCAATTATGAAAATGGCAGTTAGATCAATATGGTTCTAGATCTAGCCGTTACTATATTGATATACTTATGCCCGTTTTCACCATCAATCCCTAATTTTAAGTGACCCTTTTGGTAACACATAACAGGCATTTTGTTTTCATGGGGGTCACTTAAAAATTAAGGATTGATGGTGAAAACGGGCATTAATTACTTACTAGTCCATTTGATTGTAAATATTTTACAAATAATGAAGACATCTGCTTAAAATTAAGCGATGTGTGAACGTGTACATAACATATAGTTTTTATTATAACGATGGAGTTCTCGTCGTCAATGATTCTGTCACGATTGTTATTTTGATGATATCTTCACTTAACATTTCAATCAGTTGTAAAGATCACCCTGTTTATGAGAAGAGCAGAAAAAATGCAATCGGGAGGAACGTGACACTGCTTATCATAAGTGTAAATCAATAATATCCTTGTCTCATAAAATAACGTGGACTCATCCCGCCGCCATTAGCTTCAATCCCATAATTTATGCTAAAAAGTAAATGATCTAAAGCCCGGTCTGTGAGCATGTAGAATTTTGTCCAATGACCCCAAGCTACCGCGTAATTATGTTGCTGTCGCGCTCGCACACTTACTGCGGGCACCCGTCGCACAGTCGCGACAGCAATATAATTACACGCGAGCTATAAGGATGGGTAGTTTGGAGTCATTGGACAAAATTCTACGTGCTCGCAGACCAGGCTAGCTACAGCAAGAACGACTGATGAGGCTATCAAAAAATGTTAGGGCTTGGTTGCCGTAGTGTTTTGTAAGTTTGTTATTAGAATAATAGTATTTCTGCAGTGCCCCCCGCCCAAGACCACCAAGAAGGGCGCGAAGGAAGCGAAGCCCACCACTGAGGAGCCCGGATACGTGGTAAGCTTGGTGATGGAGTCTTCAGTAGGTCTAGACAAGTGGCACTTTATGATCGAATCGAAAATCGAATCTGTTCCTCTAACATGAACAACTTTCGTCAACGAATCGTTTGCGTATTCGACAAAATTCGATACTCAACCTTCGAATTAAACTATAACGTGACAATTTTGACTCTCAAAATAAGTTTCGTGCAACCACATCTCATACTAAGTTCACTTTACGACACGTTCACAAGGGCACTGTTATAGTTTTCGTACTAAATATTTTGATGGCGATTCGAATACGCAAACGATTCGAACTCGAAAGTTTTTCGTGCTAGCCGTACCGTTCACGGAGCGATGTAACTCGTAACTCTATACAAAAACGCGGGACCTTTCGACCATCTTTCGATATTAGAACTGTCACGGTTTGCCACTTGTCTAGGGGGCTGACCACTGAAGGCCTCCCTTCACCTGACGGGTAGCACTGCCCATGATTCGTGTAGACTATGTGTTTCGGAATCAAAGTGTTTGCTTCACCATTGTGCTGTACTACGGGGAGAACGCCGAAACGGCGTATTGTTGTATCCAAATTAAGTATATTGTAAACTTACTATTTTTTGACACAATAGGGAATTGGATACTACTTACCTTACTAGATGGATATACTTTAATGAGCAGTCAGAGCCCTGTTTCTTCTTAGTATAGAAATACACACATTTAAAACTTAACTGTATAAATAATTTATTTGTGGATAGTGTCCGGTACCCTATTTCTCTCCCAGTAAAAAACTGTGATTCCGAAAAAATTAAGCAATTGACCAAAGCCTCGTTACTTTAGAACTACATTTTGCTGTAAAAGCACTTATAATTATTATGACTATGACAGTCACTACTCTTTACCGATAAGTTATTAATTTTTGATCAACTTTGTGAAGTCGGGCTTTAGTTCATTGCAAATCTTTGTTGTATCCTTGAAACCATTTTGGTTCAAATGCTAAATTAACTGTCAAATGTAATGCTAAATAAATAAAACTATGTTGGTTTAACTTATGAGCATAGATCGAATAGTAAATAATTGTTGTAGTTGTTCTTGCATAGTTATGTATGGATAAGTTTTCCAGTAAATCAAATGAAGCTTGTGTTGTAATTCCCAGAAAGTACACCTTTTTCGATATATGCTTATAACCACGGTTACGCTATGTAAACTAAATTGTATCATTCCTTTTGTCAAATCAAATCATTATCTTATTTAAACTACTTCAAATAGTATATGTTTTATGTTTGATTATGTTTGTTTAATTGTAATAGAGAATTACGGGTATCAATGCGACATTTATGTAGTACTTACATACAAACTATGAGTATGTCTGCATGCCTTCATTGGTTGGGTTTTATAAGCTGAGGATCCTGGCGAGATGGCTGCACAGAAGTAGCAGCGGTGGGCATAGTCCTGCACCAGTCTGCGCGTGAGTGAACAGAGCTGTAGCCACTTCCAAGCTGGGTTGGAAGTTCCAACCCAGCTGAAACGTCAAGCTGCAAGTATGTAATCATGTATAAATGTCGCATCGAGACCCGGAATTCGCTATTATAATAAAATTGTAATGGAAGGTGAAAGTTTAAATTGTTATTTTATTCATGTCATCGTCATTGTCGTTCGGTTTTCTTCTTTTTCTCTAATAATAAGCTACATCATGCTGTGTCGATATCTTGAATCGGGATCAGTACCCTTATTACGAAAATCTTTCCGAGTTCGAGACGAGAACGTATTTTCTTACTATTCGATCGCACTCGATACTATTACACTTTTATTTGGTGGCACAAAACACTTTCGACATGATTTCGACTGACTAACATCAACTCGAAGTTCAACGACCTTTTATCGAGTATTTTAGAAGCTTTTTTTCATCATATCATATAATTATTTAAAACCATTATTTTACCAATCAATAAATATTCAGAAATTATGTGTAATTTTGGACAGCTTTCGCCTAACAGCGGCAGACAAGTGACAAGCTATAATTTCTCATACTGAGTTCACTTTACTTCACGATAACTATTCGATCTCTGTACGAAAGCAATTCACATAATGTTTCGTGCTTTTGTTTTTAGTTCTCGTTACGACCGTTGGGCGCTGTTTAAGTTTTCATAGTAAATCTTTAGATGGCGATGCGAACTCGAAAGTTTTTCGTAATAGGGGTACAGGCCCCAAAGTGTCCTCCTCACGTGGACCGTCGTTGCAGGTGGCGGTCAAGACGCTGAAAGACGACACGATGGCGCTGAAGGACTTCCTCGAAGAAGCCGCCATCATGAAGGAGATGCGCCACCCCAACTTGGTGCAGCTTCTCGGGGTGTGCACCCGCGAGCCTCCGTTCTACATCATTACGGAGTTCATGTCGCGCGGCAATCTGCTCGACTACCTGCGCTCGGCCGCCTCGGCCACTGCCCGCGAGCCAGCCCCCGATGCCGTGGTGCTAATGTATATGGCCACTCAGATCGCCTCTGGAATGAGCCACCTGGAGAGCCGCTCCTTCATTCACCGGCAAGTGATTTATCTACACTCAACATCAAATAAATCGCACCTTCAGCGACGCGAACTTTAAAGATTTACTTCTGACACAATCATTTTGCCCCAACAATATTGGTGTTATTTGAAAGCCCAATAAATAAACTTAAAGTTAAACACATTTTTTTTTATAAACAACTAGGTACCATAAATGTGACTTGAAAAACACACTTGACACCTCTGGCAGGCCTGGCTCACTCCGCGCGGTACATCCGATAATTACCTACAGCGAAGCGCCCCGCCGGCGGGTATTATATCAGTCGAGTGTCACGACGCGCGCACCCGTCAGGACGCTGGCGTGCGTTGTAGTACCTAATTCTATGATCGAAGTATTATTTAAAAATGGACATAAAGAGAAAGAAATATTGTGCGGCGTTCGGGTGTTTAAATTCGAAAAGAAATCTACCGGATTTATCTTTTTTTTCGCTTCCCAAAGATGCTGAAAGGTATGTTGGCCATGTAGGTAATCAATAATAGGGTATTTGACACCACCAATCAATTGACGTACTTTTTAAAACTGTCAAAACGACACTCTCCCATAGATTTTGTACGGCGATACTAGCATGTGACGTCACAATTTTATCAACTCAATGAAACTACTTTTTACAATTTTAATGCAACCAAAAATCGTAATTTACAGGTAATTAAAAATTAATTAAGTTTTTAAGAACAGAAAGAAGTGTCTTTTTAAAAAAGTTGTGGTTTAGAATTATTGGCGAATGGTGTCAAATACCCAATTCTTAGGATAGTATAGGAACCTAACCTACCATGACTACTGCTCAGAATGCGTTCGTTCGTTTCAGCCAAATTACGTTCACTGCTGGACAAAGGCCTCTCCCAAGGTTTTCCATAATGAATGCGTACTTACATACATACGTGTTATGAGGTACGTACCTCATGACATATAAGTAGATTAATTATTTTTTTCACTAGACATCAACCCTAACAGCGTAAGAAGAGTTCAGAGGCACGCGATAGAAAGAGACAAAACTTGTAGGTGAATAAAATTGTAGGTACGTAGTGCTGTGCGAGCTGAATTCCACTGTATCGCGTCGCAGCAAGACTCGCATTTATTTAAATCGTCTTGCGGAGTAATCCTTCTGTACCTGTACTATTACTTATTCTGTGCCTCTGGGATCAATTAGACCAATTTTTATGGTTACAAAACCAAATAATGATCTCACGTGTCCTCTTTAACAGATGGATAGCGAATAATCCCAACTTAACAGTTTTATAGCCATAAAAGTTGGCTCAAGCGTAACTTTTATGGCTTTGAAGATTTTTTTGAAGAAGTGACTCTGGATTCTTCTACACATTTTTGGGGTAAAAACTTTTCCTTTAATGAAATGAAGTTTAGAACTAGGCTTTCAAATGGTACCAATGTTGGAGGGAAGTGGGGATGCATACGTTTGAAAATGCTTGTCGGGGGAGGGTCGATTTTTGTGATGACCAGTGTATTTCTCTCTCTCTCTTTGTCACTACACACTCTTGCCAGAGTGGTCGTGGTCGCCACACCAGGTGTGGCAAGCCTCACAATCCGTCGCCATTCTTCCCGCACTGCAGCCTTTCTTGTGCACTCGTGGAGTGGATTTCTCTCTATGTCATTACAAATCTAGCAAAGGTTTAGGACAAAACCTCCTTGTATGCTCGGATCGTCTTCGGAATGTGCTACGTTCTCTGAAGAACCACTGTTTCATAATCAACACCAATAAGATTTCTTCCTTTGTCGCAATTTAATGTATGTCCTAAGGTCCAGAAATACTCGGATTATAATTATCTCATCGATGTTAAAAAGGTATTATTTTCCTCGTGTGGATACAACTTACATGGTGATATAATTCTATTTGCAATAGACATGATCTACTTGAAGAGAAGGAATTATTTTGTGTCAATTTAAATTGCGATTTGGCACTCTAGGGACGAGCTACACACCGGTTTTAATATCATGTAAATACAAACTAGGTCAGTATGCTGACTACGTAGAAAATGTTCCAGATAGTTATAACTGCAGCGACGCACGCTTGCGTCTGATAGCAGGAAATTCAGCGTAACTCTCAGAACCTATCGTTCGTGTTCCTGCGACGCACTGCGCCCCAGTTAGCAAGAATGTCACAGGCTCTACGTGATCGTCACGTTTCGGGAAGCGTCCCGATCTAGGCTGCCGTTGATAGACGAACGGAACTATGTAGGACTAGATAGGCTGTGTTGATCTGGACTATTTCTCACTCATTCAATCTATTTGCGAGCGAGCGAGAGATGTGCCAGTTGTGCCGGCGAAGTTTGTATTCGACAAACTACATATTGCTTAATGATATCAAAAACTTTGACATTATTAGTTTATCTTGTTCACCAGTGCGGGGCCTGTCTATAACACATGTTTTATTCCAAACAGCCTGTCTAGTACACGCCTGGCAGTGTATACTTAACGAGGACTAAGTTTAAAGCTGACGGCACGACCTAGTTGTAAGCTGATGCTTATTAATATCCTCTCGGAAAATGAAAATAAAAAGCGATGTGCGAGACTTTTATAGATGACAAAAGTTCATAGCACACGATCACAGGCTTTCTAAGGATTTCACATTACATTACATCTTTTATCAGTGTATTTTGTAATGAATAGGTGACATCCTCAATTTCTCTTTAATTGCACCTGACATTAGGTGATGATAAAATCTCAGTGTAAGCTTGCTCAGTTCATACTTAGTTAATCAAGTCTTAAAGGTGCTCACCACACATTATAGTGAAGCGGGAGGACCCGTTAGGAGAGGGTCCAATTCCTATGCATGGTGAATCGCTTAGGTCGTATCCAAACAATTTCAAGACATAATGAGGGCTATCGTTATAGCGCTCACCAGTTTGCGCCACTGTAGAGTAAGGTCCTGTCACTTGCTAGTAGCGAAGACAGTGGCACCATCTGGTGAGTGCTAAAGTGGTAGGAGGACTATCGCATTTGCACTCATCAAGATGGCTCCACTGTAGAGTAAGGTCCTGTCAATCGCCAATTGGGTGCCAACTGTTAAGTATAAAAACGATAGCCCTCATTTGTATTTTGTTAAGAACAGCAGCGTGTTCTGAGAGTTTTAAAACCTGTTACCGACAGACGTTTTCATTCGCATGACTAGTTAGGTTATAGAACAAATGTTATACCACATTTTGTCCCACAGAGACCTGGCCGCCCGCAACTGCCTCGTCGGCGAGAACCACCTCGTAAAAGTGGCTGACTTCGGCCTGGCGCGGCTGATGCGTGACGACACCTATACCGCGCACGCCGGCGCAAAGTTCCCAATCAAGTGGACGGCCCCCGAAGGCCTGGCGTACAACACCTTCAGCACCAAGTCCGACGTCTGGGCCTTCGGGATCCTGCTCTGGGAGATCGCCACCTACGGCATGTCGCCCTACCCCGGGGTGGACCTGGCTGACGTCTATCATATGCTGGAGAAGGTAAGTACAGATGAATGTGATCTTTGTGGATGTTGATACTAGGTTCAAGATGGCGTGGTGTGATTCTCAACGATGGATTCCGTTTTTGTCAATAACGCCCGTGTCCACAAACATTACTATCAGGTCTTCCAGTGCGTGTGCGCGTGTGGACGCACAGGGTGACACACGAACCAATCACAGAGCTCAATTCAACGCTGTGCGTTCGATTTGCTGATTCGCTTAAACAAGCTTCGTTTGTGAATACGAATATTTGACACTCGTAACGAACTAAGTCGCTGACATAGGCCGACGGATTAGGAAGCTGAAGTGGCAATGGGCAGGGCGCATAGTACGCAGAACTGGCGATTGATGGGACAGCAAGGTTCTGGAGTGGAGGCCGCGTACCGAAAAACGCAGCGTGGGACGTCCACCCACAAGGTGGACCGACGACATCATAAAGGCAGCTGGAAGGCGCTGTACGCAAACCGCTACCAACCGGGCAACATGGTTGGAAAGCATTGAGGGAGGCCTATGTTCAGCAGTGATGATGATGATGATGATTTGACACTCGATATTTCATCAGGCAGGATTAAGAATCTGTCGAAGGGTTCTGTATGATACGACATTTTAATTTAAGTTACGCTAAAGGAAGTATAGATTCAAAGTTATCTCTTCGCAAAGTTAAAAACTACATAACTTGTTTCAGCTCTCAAAATAAATATTTTAAGGAAGGTGAACGCATTTCATATTAATCCGCAGTTTCATCGCTACTGTAGTATTTAACTATTGCATTAAGAAACCTCTAGTACCCATAAGTACTTACTGTAGAAGGTACATTTACATTTTTAGATGATATCAATGCAAATATCCATAGAGCACGTTTCAGATACAACCCTGCAATTTCTAAGTAATGTGACGAAAACCACAACTAAGCGTTATTAATACACTGACATGTTTTAGTCCCTATTAACGCAGATTCAATTATAATACAGTGTGAGTCACGTTAAAGTGTACATATGAAAATAGATGAAACTAGACCTATTTTTATCGACAAAAAAGTGGTCAAAATTTTTTTTAGATTTTTTTTTAATTTTTTATAGATTTTTTTTCCTTTCAAGTACTTATTGTAAAGAAATCGTAATAACTTTGAAACTAAGAGGTATATCCTGATAAAATAAAAATAGTAAATCATAACAAATGTTGTGATAGGGATAGAGACATGCAATTTTTGGTTTTACAAAGGTAATACGATAGAGAATAATACAAAACAATAAAAACCACCTGTTATAGGGGCATTTTTTGGAGAAATTTATCAAATAACCAAAAAAACACGAATTTTTAAGCAGATTTTTTTAAAAAAGTATCATTTTTTATTATTTGTTGGCTATTTTTGTGTATTTTATGTATTTTTTTAGTATCGCCTGTTATTTAGCATTATCACTGTTTTTATTTTATCAGGATATACCGCTTAGTTTCAAAGTTATTACGTTTTCTTTACAATACGTAATTGGAAGAAAAAAAATTCTATAAAAAAAAAATCTCAAAAATATTTTGACCTCTTTTTTGTCGATAAAAATAGGTCTAGTTTCATCTATTTTCATATGTACACTTTAACGTGACTCACACTGTATAATTAGTGCCCAGGACGTAATCTAATGTGCTAATTATCTCGGGATCCACTTACCGGCGCTAATGGATTAATCACCCTAACGCAGTTACCTACGCCGACGTCCACTTAGCATAGTATAGCACTAATTGCTCTGATCACTTAATAACTAATTAACACAGTGTAGAATCAACTATAGTAAAACGTAAACAACTGTATCAAAAGAAAATCGTAAGTAACAAATCTTTGGGTACACAGCACAACTTTTCTAAAGAACACAATCGCCCTGATCTTAAGAACTCAGTAAGTTTTCTTTTTATCAACTGTAAGGGCCCTCCCACACCGGCGTTTTGCAAGCGTTTTCAAAGCGGATTCGCGGCAATCCGCCCAGTGTGGTAGTAGCTCATAACTGTAACTGTAAAAAAATCGATTGAGTTGGATCTTCCAACCAATAGTGACGTCGTCAGCTTGTATTGCCCTACAAAATCTACAGAAGAATAGCGTTTACACATAAAATGTATGAGTAATTTAATGTCGTATATCATATTATTGTGTTATTCGTTATTAGCCTACCATCCCAAACTAGCTGTGCACTAATTAATCGAAACAAGCGTAGGTATACCCAAGATTTTATATGAAGTTATTGGTTGCCAAACAGAAATAAACAGAACTGTATTATAAACATTCACAATGTTGTTTTATTGCAAGGTAAAAAATAATAATTTGAGACTATCTAGATAGGACACTGATTTTAACACGGTTTTAATAGGTCGTCGTGTATGTAACTAAGTATGTAATGGATAAGAATCTGAATTACACGCACTACTAATTCTTGTATCACCATGATGTAGATTAGATCACAATACAATATTATGGTACCATCGAGTTGGTCTGATGATGGGACTGGAAGGTGACCATAGGAACTACTAAACGAAACGGCAGAATCGCATCGAGTTTTGGTTCGTTGGATTTGTCTTTTCGAGCACTTTAGTGCTAGATGATGTCCAGAGTCCTGATGATTCAGCCGTGAGATGGCCATAGGAACTCTAAACTAATGTGTGTTTTTAGATTTTTAAACTATTAATTTTACTCTGTAGATGGATAGATAATAACTTCGTAATGTCAAGGGTCATTCTAGCGATCGATACGGATTCAAAGGCTTTAGAATACACTAAAATAGCAGGTATAATACTAATGCAATCAACTAATGCGGGAATATCCAAGCGAAGGGGAGATTGCACAATATTCTTTCAATTTTGCAAATTGAAATGTTACGAATACGTAGTCGCAGGGTATCTAGTTTTGATTTATTATCTAGGTAAAAAAAACTAGAAAAATCCGTTTTAAACAATGAATTGAAAGTAAAAAAATAACTAGATCTTATTTAAGACTTGCGGATTAGAAAAAGTTTTTTTTACAAATCTTAATCATTTTTTCTTCTTGACTTGATAATTCAGCGGATTATCAATGTGTTTGATAATTCAAAATTGCAATATATTTCGATTGATAATATAGACCCTGGGATTATCTTATACACGCATTTGAGTACCAGTAAAGAAAGGTCCGAAGTTTAGGCACAGCTATTAAAATACAGGATTTTACATAGTTCTTAATAAACTTCATTATTATCACATTGTTACTCGTGAAATACAATCAAATCAAAGTATTTCACCAATCGCTGAAAGCCGTTTAGAAACTTATTTGTCAGATAAACTACAGCTGTTGAATGCACAGGTCTCGGTTAAAGTTACCGGGCAAATTGTGGTAGTCAGAGTAAGTAGCCTTTGTTTGTTTGATAACTATCTGAAACTTGATTGAACGGTGAAACTGACTTTAAAACTTATTGTTCTGCTGTCATTTGTTATTCAGCTAGTTCAGTCACGCAGTTTGCGCCTTCACAAAGAGCACGGTCGCTTTCCGTTTAACGTGAATCAGTGCTGGGATTTATATTCAGGCGCTGTAAATTGTCACGTTCCTAGATAAATATATCAGAAACATAATGTTTTAGCTAAAGGAACGCTGAAACTGACCTTAAAACTTATTGTTCTGTAGTCACTTGTTATCTCCAGCTAGACTTCATCCATAGAAGTTACGTCACGCAGCTTGCGCCTTCACAAAGAGCGCGGTCGCTCTCCGTTCGACGTGAATCAGTGCAACAATTTATATTCAGGCGCTGTAAATTCTCACGTTTCTAGTTAAATCTACTTAAAACTTAATGGTATAGCTAGAGGAGCGGTGATACTGCCCTCAAAACTTATTTTTCTGCAGTCGTTTGTCACCTGTACTGCAGCTAGACTTCATCCATAAGAGTTCCGTCACGCAGTGCGCCTTCACAAAGAGCGCGGTCGCTCTCCGCTCTGCGTGAATCGGTGCTACGATTTATGTTCAGGCGCTGGAAATTCTCACGTCCTCTAAGTATGGTGATGTTTTACCAGTATACAGGGTGGGAACGATAGTTTCCAGCTTCCATACTCAATGTATGAACGTTAACAATCAATTAAAAGGAAGAGCTCTTATCTTTGTGTCCATCTTTTGGGCTCTACCAGCACTTCAGAACAAACTAATGGCAAGTGCTGATTAGAAGGCGTGTCACAATCAGGAAAAAGACTAAACTACATTTACCATCGGTATCAACACATTCCTTTGATAAATTACTTTTACTTAAATTACTTTGAACTCAATAGGCTAGTTTCCTTAAAAAAACTTTTAATCCGTCAAATATATTATCAAAAAATATTGGACACGTATTTTTTTAATCAAACAAGTAATTACGAAGTAACGATGTGTTGAAGTTAATCGTAACGTCATAAAGTGCTAAACTTTTAAGCACTCCTTTACGTCACTGGCCTCTTCTTTTTAACTTTGGCGCACTTTATCTCTTTAAATTTGAATGATAAGTTAACTGACAGGAAACATCCCTATTCTGCATTCCTGTATTTTATATACAGGGTGCGTTATTTTTTTTAGTTCGAAGTTCCATTCCTGTCCAACTCCAAGTTACAAAAATCCAATTGTAAGTTTCGTTATTTCTAAAATTGACTCCAAATTAAGTAACTACACAAGTCCTACATTTTATTGCAAGCAGCAGCTATGTGTTCTTAAGTATTTTCGCTATTAATTATTTTAAATGAGTAATACAAAATTAGCAGAATGGTGGCGATCAACGATTAAACATCAATATCTTTCCATGGCAAAATAAAACACGGCAATACAGCTTATAAATCATTTTATTAAAATGATCGAAATATAAAAACAAACCACCGAAGTGCGGCTCCGCTGGCGCAACAATGGCCAAGCAACAAGTTTCGTTAGAACCATAACAAAGTACTATACATTGCATTTCGCGTCGGTTTAGTAAACTTTACATAAGTGCTCCCAAACAGCGATAACGACCCCCGTGCCCAAACATAACAAG